CTATTCTATTCTATTCTATTCTATTCTATTCTACTCTACTCTACTCTACTCTACTCTACCCTACCCTACCCTACCCTACCCTACTCTACATTGGCCCAGTATACTGCAGGGGAGATATAATAAAAACCTATAAACGTGCATATAACCTGGACACTTAAAATAGAGGAATCATTCTAAATATGTTTAAGAGAAGATTTTTTTAACCTGGCTCCCCCAAAAGCCATCAATATAGTCATACATCTTTGTAGCGCATTTGTAGCGAGGTATAATGGGGTGAATCACAACCTTTTAAAATGTCATTAGAAATGTGAGCACCAATGTAAAGGATCAGTTTCCCTTAAATGGGTAGCTGAAGTAGGAAGAACGTGTTTGGTTTAATATATTCCCCAAGTTGTTCTGTGCTAAAAACTCAAAGGTATTCTTCTCACCTTATTTACTTGACAAAACAAGGAAGGCCCATCAATTAGTTAATGTAGAATGGCCCGATGTGGGCTGCAGATTTTAATTCTTTTTGCGATTTTACAAGTATCTGGAGTTCTCCAACTGAGATTTGGTAATCCTACATGATCCATCAATCTTTTTGGAAAAAATACTAGAGTTGTGTTCCCCTATGTTCCTCCTGTACTATGCAACCACACTGAACTACTCCTCAGATACTCCCTCACCTTTTCAGCTCTTGGGATTGAAATAAAGGCCACTTTGTTCAGACTTACCAAGTAGTAAAAGACAACTTCTTTGTCCTTTATGACATTTGGGTTGAGAACATAATGGATGCGGATGACTGTATGTTTTCCGCAACTTAGCGTGCTAGCAGGCAATTCAATTTTGAGGTAGCTTTGACTTGGAGAATAGAAACGTGGTGCTGAGTAATGGGCATTTTGGTGATGAGGGGAGACCCAGTTCCTATCGTAACAAGGAGATTCAGTCTGGTAAATTGCCTGGTGAAAAAGAGAAATGATACAAATAATCACATTCATAATCATAAGTATAATCATATATTCAACTTGTATGCCGCCTGACTCTCGACGACTCTGACCCAGAGATGAGATAAAAGGAATTAAGGTAGCTAATGTCTTTCATTGATTTAAGTATTCATAAACTGGTTTAAAGGCAATACCCTCAGAATTACAACCCAAACAATGTAAGTCCTCCAGCCATTTGCAATCATCAGGAAACACTGCAGCAAACAGGAACTTCCTAACAGCTGTGCATGGAATGGGTTAAGTATTGATTGACAGGCTCAAGAATTGTTCTTGAATTAGACAAAAAGAGAATTAAAAGTCTCTCATTCAGCCTTGATTCTGGGAGCTTACTTTAAGTTGAAGTCACAATGAAGAACTGGGTGTTGCTGTAGGGCTGTTTTTCCAAAAACGCTAGCTTGCGTGGGACGTTTAAAAAGGTTAGCACACTTTGCATTGAAAGAAATTCCCAAAGCAGGCTACAGTAAATATATCCGTAGAACCAAATAAACATTTAAGAGTGAACACCGTACAAAACAAGAGCGCTTACATCTATCAAAGAGGACTCTAAATCAAATAGCATCCTACATTCAGCCCAAGCCCCAAGTGAGCAGGCGCAATAGATGATTAGTTGACTTGGTGCCAACTTTAACGGGACAAGGGACCAATTCCACCATTGGGGTACCTCGGCTATTAAAATGCCAAGTCACATTATTTTTAATCATTCCCTCTTGGTGCATCTTTCTTTTGTAAGTCTAGAATAGGATCATTGGCTTGCTGCTCTCCAAAAGTCAGGGACAAAACCCTCTTTCTACATACATCTACACCGCGTCCAACTTTGCCTTGATCAAGATACCACCAGGCTTCTTAGAAAATTGGGCTTGCGGAGCAAAATGGACCCCAAAGAGAAACAATGAATGCAATTAGTCCACGGGGACAGATCTAACAAAGCGATGGAAAAGATGAAGGGAAGGAAAAGACACAGGAGAAACCAAAGGCTCTCCAAGTCAGAATTGTCTAGGTCCACTCATACTGCTATATTCCAAGGAGGAGGCTAACTGTAATATCCCATCTTCTTTAGATCCCAGTCACTAAGAAAACTCACAGTGAGTTGCATGGCTTCATTCGTGAAGTTAGAAGTATCTATGGAAAAGTGGACTCGTCCTTCATCATTAGTTTTGTAGTAGGATTTGTTCGCTACTTCCGATATTTGAAGTTCAATGGTCTTGTTGGCCAACGGCTTCTTGCTACCGTCCACAAGTTTCATCTAAATGTACAAAACAAACACATGGGCTTAGGAATGAACTCAACTGCTGTGTTAGATTGAACCTGCTGGTCAGGGCAGTTGTGTGAACAGGAGTTGGGCAGAAGGGGGAAGAGGAACCACTCATCTACGTTTCTGCAAAGCTTCAGGAGAAACATCTTGGAGGCTTGGAGTGGGTGGATCCAAAGAGTAGGAAGGGCCTGTTGGACTGTCATGCTCACCCAGACTCCATACATGGTTCCAATTAGATATTTAACCAGGGGGATCATCAACCAGTTTGCCTTACCTCCCCAGAGAAGGGAAGCCCGGGCTTGTAGAAAGTGTCCATCTTTTCAAAAGTAACAGCGCTGATTGTCGAAGTTATCAGTGTGGTAGCTGAGCCTGTCAGCTTAATCTCTGCCGAAAGGAACCAGCAACACATGCAAAGCTTAGGAGTCACAATAGCAGCCTTTCGTGCCTTTTTCACCCCCAAACTCCCCAGCCAGCTGGTCTGGCAAATTTCATTTCCTAGGCTCAGAGAAAGATTAGAAGTTTTCTTGTTAACAACTCAGACAATGGGATCATTTATCCCAGGCACATGATATATTCTGGGTCACAAAAGCTCTCTGGCTTTTGCTGGGAATTCTGGGAGTTGAAGTCCACACATCTTAAAGTCCCCGAGTTTGAAGAACATTGTTTTAGATGAAGATGCTGAAGACTGAAGCTGCAACCTTCACGGGGCAAAGTAGGCTGTGCTGAGCCTTATCAACCTCCAGCCAAACTATCTTTCACATTCCCCAAACTATACCTGTCCCTTCTTCTGTGATTACACCCACTGTCTGAAGCTCCATCTGAAATCCATCCCTCTTCATCTGGAATATCTTCAGGTCCACCACATGAGAGAAGCAGCCGTGTATATCAGCCTGCATAAGAAATCAGGGAGTAGCAAGTTGCCATTGCAAATTCTCTTATTCTTCCTGTTCTCCTCAAGAATTTTCCTAGGGTAGGCCATCTCAGGCTGTAGCTTGCAGGGACCACCCATGGTCTGCCACTTGGCCCAGCTGATCTAAAAGACTTCTGAACAATGGAGAACTTTGGGACTCAACTTCACCCTTGACTTAAGTTTTCAGACTGTAGCAGAGAAGCCATTCCAATCACCCAGGCTAACTGAGGTGTGCCCACATTTGCACCTAATCATAGCACAAGCACACCCAGGGGTTAGTTCTTCTACCATCTCCCTGTGACGTTGCCTTCAACTTGACTCCAGCCCACGAGTGGAAAGAAGTTTAAGTAATCTTAAATTACAGTCCTTTCCCCCTTAATCTAGCATTATCCAAGGATAGCCTCAAGCTGGGTAGAATGCGTTAGGCTTTCTCGCCCGTTATCCTGGACCAGGAGTGTCTGCATGGGGTCAAGAAAGTCCAGATGGTGGCTGGGACTATGTGACTGAAGCCCTGCTCCTTTTTTACATGTGTCATGATGCAGGTAAAAGGGGGGTGGGGCTCCAGTGGTGTGATTGTGGCTGTCATCTTGGTTTTCTTGATCCTTCTCAGGATGGCCCTGAAGACCAGCCCCCTTTAGAAAACTTGCCCCTATGATTTATTGATAATCTTTATATCCCACTTTTCCACTGGGTGCTCAAGGGGATGCACATGAGGGCCTCCCTTAATATTATCTTCATAGTCATCCAGTGAGGTAGGTTGGGCTGAGTCAGTGACCAGTCCAAAGTTGCAGTGAAACTATGGTTGAGTGGGGAGACAAATCTGGGTCTCTCCTGATTCCTATTTATCACCATTATGCAGTCCCACAGTTTGTCCATCCCACTGACAGGCCTTCGAGGCCAGGCCAGGAAACAGAGACCACAAGAACTACTGGAACTCTTTTGTTCGAGGATATAATAACAGAATCTTGAAAGCCTCACTGTGTTTTCCCTTCCTTCCTCCTTATACCAAAGAGAATCAAGATGGGGCAATCTTGAGTTTCTTTCTCACTCTCTCTTCCCTTCCAGGGCTAAGCTCTGGTTTTAATCCTCATTCACAGCCTAGAGTCACAATTGCGAGAGAGGTGGCCATATCAATTTTATATCAATCAATACATTTTAAATAAATAAATAAACAAACAAGCTGGTGTTTACATAATGGCTTCTTCAGTGCCATCTCCATCTTCTTCTATGCCAGTGTTTCTCAACCCCAGCAACTTGAATATGTGTGGACTTCAATTCCCAGAATTCCCTAGCCAGCATGCTTTAAGATGTATGGACTTCAACTCCTGCTGAAGTTGCTGGCTGGGGAATTCTGGGAATTGAAGTCCACATATTTTCAAATTGCTGAGGTTGAAAAACACTGCTCTATGTACTCCCTGTGGATTAATTTTGTCCCTGATCGTGTGGACTTCACATGGACTCCAGTGGTTGAGGAAACTTCCCCACCCTGGTCACAGGGTCTCTGCTTCAACTTTGGGACTCACCTGTCCACTGAATTCCTCGCAGACAGCTTTTGACTCTTCACCATAACATGAGCTTCCGAAATAGGAATATTTCCGGCAAACCCTGACGTTCACCAGACCAGGAACCGGCTTCCCGTAGGTGTACCTGCAACCAGAAGCAGCCAGAACATTATAGAAATGAGATAATTTGTCAGCAGCACCCTGGCCATTAGGACAGAGAGGGAGGGAAAGGGTGGGAGGAAAGGAAATGCAGTTACTTTCTATTACCCTACTCAATGCCACAGTGGTGTGGAGACAACAGCGTGCTGCCAGTAACTTCGATGGTGGGGTTCTGCTAAGAGAATTATCTTATGTAGGTGGAAAGAAAGCCACACTCCAGATGTCAAAGAGTGCATTGCGTTCTTTGTCCATGTTTGAAATAGTATCAGAATGAGAAGATGAAGAAGTAGATCGCTGCTTCTAGGGCCGAGATTTAATAACGTGCTGAAGGATTGAGCTCATTGTATAGTAACCTACCTCACAAGGTTGTTGTGTGAAAAATAGGAGGCAGGAATATTAGGCATGCTCGCTGCCTGGAGTTGATCAATATATAATAATAATAATAATAATAATAATAATAATAATAATAATAATAATAATACCACAAAACAGGCAAAGTAATAGAAAATGAAAAAGCTAAAGTGCTCTGGGACTTTAGAATTCAAACAGACAAACTCCTGCCACACAACACCCCAGACTTAATAATTATTGATAAGAAAGACAAAAAAGTCTGGATAGTCGACCCTCCAATCCCAGGAGACAACAGAATGGAAAAGAAAGAACTGGAGAAAATCACAAAATACAAAGACCTGCAAATAGAAGTAGAACGACTGTGGCAAAAGAAGCAAAAATAGTACCAATAGCAATAGGTGCCCTGAGTGCAATCTCAAAACATCTGGAGCACCATTTGAAGACCACCGGCATTGACAAAATCACCATCAGTCAATTGCAAAAGGCAGCTTTACTTGGAGCAGCTGACATCCTGCAATGATACCTTTAACATCCTCAAACAACCACATCTCCCTGTCCCAGGTCCTTGGAAGAACTTGATAGGAGGATAAAAATGCCAAATCCAGTCTAAACATCTGGCTGACTGTGTGATCAACAACAATAATTATTATTATTCCCCAAAAATAGTGCCCAAAAAAGACCCAGCATCTATAATGAAGGATGTGAAACAGGTAATCCTTGACTTATGACCATTCATTTAACAACCGTTTGAAGTGACGATGTTGCTGAAAAAAGTGACTTATGACCAGTCCTCACACTTATAACCATTGCAGCATCCTTGCAGTCATGTGATCAAAATTCAGGTGATTGGCAACCGGCATGTACTTACGACAGTTGCAGTGTACCAGGGTTACATTATCACCATTTGTGACCTTCCCAGGGGGCTTACAACAAGCAAAGTCAATGGGGGAAGCCGGATTTGCTTAACGAAAAAAGGTCGTAAAATCAGGCGCAACTCACTTAATGGCCACATTGCTTAGCAACGGAAATTCTGGTCCCAATTGTGGTTGTAAGTCGAGGATTACCTGTAAGGGGCTTTCAAGGATTAAAATAACATCTATTGAACAGGCCAATCAGCTTGCCTACAGTACAGCAGTGGTAGTTACAGAAGAACTGGGCACTGAAATTAGAAAACTGAAAGCAAAATCATATTCAGTCCCAAAGTGGAAGATCAGATTGGAGGGCAAGATAAAGAAATTAAGATCAGATGTGAGTAATTTAAAGAACGTGAAAGAGCAAAAAGTGAAGAATGCAAGAATCAAGACAAGCCTAATAAAAAAGTATTGACTTAGCCCCAGAAAAATTGAGGAAGCTTTGGACATAATAAAGCAACAAATAACAGCAATAGCTGGGAAAACTGAAGACTATGAGACACAAATCATCCAATTTAAGCAAAACCAGCTATTTCAATCAGACCAGAGGCAATTCTGGGGCAAGAGGCTAGCCGAAATCCAGTCATTGACAAAGACTGTAAGGATTTTTAGCCCGGATATAGCAGTGGAATTTGGCCTAGAGAAATGGGCTACAATAGCAATACATCAGGGTAAAATCACGAACAGTAATGGAATTGAAACGCCAAATGGCCAAACCGTCAGAAGCCATCAGGATGAAGCCTACAAACATCTGGGCATCAAGCATGGACAAATTAAAAATGCGATTAGTAAAGAATAAAGTGTGAGAAAATTGCTAAAGACAAAATTGAACGGTGGAAGCACCAATCAAAGCCATTGATACCTGGGCCATCCCTGTTATATGACCCACTGCTGGAATTATTAACTGGACACAAACTGAACTGGACAGTTTGGACCGGAAAAAAAAAAAGAAAACTCATGATTATTCACTATATGTTACACCCCTGTAGCAATATTGATAGATTATACCTGCCCTGAAGAAATGGAGGCAGAGGTTTATTTCTAGTCCAACAAACTGTCGAAGAAGAAAAGCATGCATTGGCTGATTGTGTAAAAGACAGCCAAGAGCAAGCGTGGATGCAAATTAAAAACTAGAACTTACTGAATGTACAGGAAACAAAACATGAATATTGAAATAATGTGATAAAAACACAAACAGAATGCTGGCAAGGAAAAGCATTACGTGGTCAATTTCTACAAAAGATCGAGGGGAAAGTGGATAAAGGTAAAAGCTGGCAATGGTTTATAAGTGGAACATTTAAAAAAGGAACGGAAGGCTTGATTTTGGCTGCTCAAAAGCAGGCTGTTTGAACTAAGGCGATCAAGGCCAGAACAGAAAAAATGATCCGATGATTCAAAGTGCAAATTGTGCAAAGGAGCAGAAAAAACAGTAGATCATATACTCAGCTTGTGCAAGAAGATCACACAAACTGACTATAAGCAATGACATAACACAGTCGCCAAAATGATTTAGGGGAACATCTGTAAAAAGGATCATCTGCCAGTAATGAAAAATTGATGGGAACGTAGAGTTGAAAAAGTAGTCAACAATAGGCAGATTAAAATATTGTGGGATAAAGATATATCCATCAAATGTTACTAGCAAAATCCATTCACATATTATTAAATCTAGCCAAATAGACCATCTATGGCTCCATTTTCTAGTTTGAGTAAAATATGTTATTTTGATACAATGATATTTATATAATATACTTAGATTCTTAATATTCTGTTATTTAGGTGCCTTAGAATATTAAGGGTAGATAAGAGAGAAGAAAAAAATGGATATTCTATCAATATTAATTACAGTTTTGGATGTTAATGTTACAAGCATTTATATTTTAATCACTGTTTTGTATGACCTGAGAAGACACAGAACACCAATGCAAAGTGGTTGCAGACCTGAGAGCAGACCACAACAATTTTCCAGAATAGGACCTAGTCACCATCATGGTAGCAGACATCCAACAGTGGGTCAAGAATGTGAAGAGCTGGACAACAGCTGGCCCAGACATGATCTATACCTACTGGCTAAAGACACTAACAGTAGTGTGTGAACGCCTAGCACAGCGTTTCTCAACCTTAGCAACTTTAAGATATGTGGACTTCAACTCCCAGAAATCTCCAGCCAGCATTAGACCGGGCACTAAGCACCAGATCCATAGACGCAGGGGTCTACCACGCTAGACAGGACCCAAGGTGCAGATTGTGCAAAGAGGCCTCAGAGACAGTCTCACATAGTGGCAGGGTGTAAGATGCAGGCAGGAACAGCATACACTGAACAGCACAACCAAGTTGCTGGCATTGTCTACAGGAACATCTGCACAGTGTATGGGCTAGACCCTCCCAAGTCCAGATGGGAGATTCCACAGAAGGTAATGAAGAATAACAGGGCTAAGATCCTGTGGGACTTCCAGATCCAGACAGACAGGCAGGTACTGACCGATCAACCAGACATTGTGGTAGTAGACAAGGACCAGAAGACAGCAGTGGTGATAGATGTAACTGTGCCAAGCGACAGCAACATCAGGAAGAAGGAGCATGAGAAGCTGGAGAAGTGCCAGGGCCTGAAGGAAGAACTAGAGAGGATA